TAATTGTATTTCACTATTAATATACTTCTTCTTAATTGTATTTCAGTTCAACAATTACTTTGATAAAATACATATTTTGTTATATTCAAATGGCTTTAGATACCTATTTGGTCCATAAATTGCCATATAGCATATATTCAACACAAAAAGAGCAACAATCTGTTGTTGACAAAGGACAGCTGGACATATAAAGGGCCCCATTACCTTCAGTAGCTTAGGGCCTCATCAAACCTAAATCCGGCCCTGGGTGTGAGAGTCCAGGGGTCTTGGTCCTTACCCAGGGTTCATTTTTCCCTTGGAAATGAGGCACAACAGAGACTGTGGTGTCTCGGCCATGATATCCTCTTCCCCCTACCCAGTGCACTGAGATTTCTTGCCTTCTGTTCCTCCTCAGATGTTGGAGACCGAAGTGGCGAACAGCACTTCAAAGAGGGGCTCCCACTCCTGCTTGGACCTCTTCCGCACTCCAACCCTGAGACGCATCTCTTGCTGCCTCATGTTGATAAGGTACCCCAAGAGGCTTCCAGAATGGGCTGGGACAAAAAACAAACAAACCAGGTGGGGTAGGGGGCAGAAGCAGATACAGAAAAAGGGTGGGCAGTCTCAGGCCATGTGTAGGCATCAGGACTCCCCCTCTCCCAGCTTGAATATGTCCCTGATCTGCGATGATGCCTTTTACATCCATGGATGGAGAAATAGGAGGAACCTCTGGCCTTGGCATGGCTGCAATGTAGCCTCCTATACAAAAATAATAGCCACATCCAACTGGCCTGCCCACTTTTGCCTCTAGCCTACAAACAAACAGCATGTGGACCCCGAAGGGGTGCCTACAGGGGGAAGCAGACCTTGGGAGGTCCTCCACCACTGATGTAGAATGAGAGGACCAGACCTCCCAAAGGTCCGCTGCATCTCCCGGCGACTCTGCCAGAATGCTGTCTTATCTCAATGCAAGGGGTGAGCCCCCCTCTGACCCCCTTCCTCCTTCTCCCCACACAGCTTCTCCATCAACCTGGCCTACTTTGGCCTCTCCATGGACCTCTCTGTCTTTGGCCTGGACGTCTTTGTGGTCCAGCTCTTCTTTGGGACCATCGACCTGCTGGCCAAGATGGGCTGCGCCCTTTTGCTGGCATTCTTCGGCCGAAGAACCATCCAGAGCCTCTCCCTCATCCTGGCTGGAGTTTTCCTCTTGCTCACCCTCGCGGTACCCCCTGGTAAGGAGCAACCTCTGGGTGAAGGGGCTGGGCGTGAGCGCCCCCCAAAATAACCCTTGGGGAGGCTTCTTCTGGAGCAGTCAGTTCACAGCCGAGATGTTCCAGGACAGGATCCTGCAGCAAGAGCCTCTGAAAAACCATGGGTTTGGCTTTCCTACCCTGTGCAAGCTGGGGGGCAGAGATTTGGCTACCAGAGAGTGGGGTTAGGGGTCTGGGGTGAGGCAGTGGCATAGCGTGGGGGGTGCAGGGGGGGCCGGCCACACCGGGCGCAACATCTGGGGTTAGGGCAAATCCACGGGTTAGGGGGCGCAAATCCACGGGTTAGGGGGCGCAAATTACTTGCCTTGCCCCGGGTGCTGACAACCCACGCTACGCCACTGGGGTGGGGGTCCGTGTGCCCACCGCTACCACACCGTACAACTGGGATGCGTCTTCCTATGAGGATGGAGCAAGAATTCTGACTCGCTTGATTCGGATTCCTGTATTGCCGGGGGCTGGACTAGATGACCCGTGGGGGTCCCTTCCAACTCTAGAATCATGATTCTAACCTATTTTTCCTCTTCTCCCCCCTATTTGTTTCTAGAAATGTTGACAGGCCGCCTGGCCCTTGTGGTGCTAGGGAAAGGCTGCCTGGCGGCCTCCTCCATGTGCCTGTATCTCTATGGCGGGGAGCTTTTCCCAACTGTTGTGAGGTGAGCTCAGCACTGGGCAAGGATGAAAAAAGTGTGTGCATGTGTGAACTGGATCTTGACCCTGGGAAATAGTGGCTGCCCCTTAGAATCAGCTCCTTCTCCCTGTTTTATTAGAGTATCAGCCTTGGACTGGGGAGGCCCCTTCTCAAACCTCCACACAGCCTTCCTGGGTGACCTTGGGTTAATCGCCACATCTCAGCCTAATGTACCTCACAAAGGACAAAAAACAGGTGGAAGAGAACCATGTGTGCTACCTTTAGACTCTCAGAGGAAAGGACGGTTATAAATGTACTCAGTATTTTTTTGAGTAAAAAACAACAATGACAACAGGGTACTGGTACTCAGATATTGATAAGGGTGCCACCATAAAATGGCTGCCACTGGCAGCAAAAAAAGAGACACAGGGGCGCAGTGGTGTTGTCCAAACCCCTGAAATTGAATAGGTTTGTATGAATGCTGGTACTCGGTACAGTTCTGAATACTGTCAGAAAAAGGCCTTTGATGTATTCAAAAACAATTGTAATCATAATTTTATTATTTGTACCCCGCTCATCTGGCTGGGTTGCCCCAGCCACTTTGGGCAGCTTCCAACACGTAGAAAAACAGCAAGCATCAAAAACTTCCCTATACAGGGATGCCTTCAAAAAGTTGTATAGAATAATAGTAATAATAATGGATCAGGGGTAAGATGGAGAATCCATGAAAAGGGATGTTACTCAACCCTAGCCTTGAGAAAGTGTTGGTTGTTTTTATTTTTATTACATATTTTGTGGTTTCATATCTTGATTTTGTTCTGTGAGACCCCCGGGTATGGGGCAGTATATAAATTCTAATCATCATCATCTAATTCTGATATGTGCATGTCAAAGAGTTTCAGAGAGCCTCAAGTCCCAGGAGAGGCAGGTGCTCTGTCAGATCTTACCCCTGCTCTTTTCTTTGGCAGGCAAACGGGCACCAGCTTCACCATGGTGATGGCCCGTCTGGGTGGCATCGTGGCCCCAGGGGTGCTGACGGCCGGCGACTTCCAGCCCTTCTTGCCCCTGGTGATATTTGGCATCACTCCCATTGTCTCCGGCCTTGCCGCCGGTTTCCTTCCCGAGATACACAACCTCCCCCTCCTGGATACGGTAGAAGAAGTGGAAGAAAGGTGGGTCTTGTTTTCTCTCCTCTAGGTGTGTGTGGGAGTGTCTAGGACCACCAGCCGCTTCTTCCCATAAAGCAGTGCCCCTCTACCCTACCCTAGGCAGAAAGTATTATTCAGAATAGCCGACCCCCTAAAGAAGATAGCAACGCAATAAAATTCAAAGTAGTAACAATCACACGTTTATTCAAAATCCAATTAAAATTATTTGGTTTAATTAATTCAACAAAATGGATGGACTTGATCCAGTGATGCCAACTTTTTGAAATTTGATACTTGCCTCCTGCACCCCACCCCCCACTGCCCTCTTAGTGCCTCCCTAGGTAATTCCACTGCCCCCCAGCAGTTTCATGGAGGACAGACATGTCAATGGCTGCAGGCCATGATGTCTCAGCTCTGTCTCCACAATCAAGAGGCGGCAATGCTTTTGAGTTTGCTGGAAGCCACAGGAGGGGAGAAGGCTCTTGTGCTTGGATCCTCCTTGCAGGTTTCCCACAGGCATCTGGTGGGCCGCTGTGAGAATAGGATGCTGGACTAGATGAGCCCCCTTTGGTCAGATCCAGCAGGCTGGACAAGAACAAATTAAGTTCTTAATTTGAGAAAGAAAGAAAATCCATGGCCATTGATATAAGTACAACACAATATCCTTTTACAGCAATAATTGTATCAATATACAGCCGGACAAAATGTTTCTCTGTGTATACTGTTAAACACTAATCAATTTCTCAAAAGCTTTCTACCCACACAGCTGTTCTCACAATCTTTCCCTTTCACCAACCACCACACCTTTAATAGGGCTTTTTTCTTTCTTTATTACACATCCTTACGCACAACAGTCAGTATTAGTCAAACACACCAGTCTTAGTAACAATCATAATAGCCGCTGACAACAAATAATAATAATAATCAAAGCCCCTCTCCCTTCTTATTATGATGGGGAAAGCTTGTTTTATCAACCTTGAACATCCAATCTGGAGGAAGAGTCCTATGTGACACAAAAGCTGGTGCTCTGCACTTCAATGAGCAGTTAATGGGAATAAAATGTGTTATCTCGCCTCCCTCCTGTCTGCAGCTGCTTCTGTAGGGCCAAATGCAGCTGCTTTGGTCTCTTCCGATTTTCCGATCACATGCTCTTTCCTGTCTCATTTCAAAATGATTCTCTCTCCCTCTCCCCGCACCTCACTTTAACATCCTTCCTTCATGCGCATCGAGCTCAGCTCTGTTCATATTCTATTCCCTTCCCCAAAGGCTGCATTTTCCCCTCTCCTCTTCCTCTCTTCCTCTAACCAATAGGAGTATCTGCTTTTAATACTGTTGAATGTCATGTTCCTAGAGCCAGACGGAAACCCAAAGCAGTTCTCAAGGAGACGCAGGAGAAGAGCAGGGCTCAAGTCGTCTGGTCGACATACTTCTGAGCTTCAGATGTACGAGAAACAGGATCGTTCTCTGGGAGCCAGCCTGGGCAGGCGGAGCAACATTCCTTACTGGAGCTCAGCCTCTTTCGAGGGACTCTGTAGTGCATGGGACAATTAGGCTGCGGACATCCATATCCCAGAGAGAAATGGAACTTTGAGGAACATCTTCCTGCCTCCTTGCCCACCTGTGCAAGTGAGCTCACCGCCTGAGGCCCTCCTCCGAGTGCTTCCTCCATCTGAAGTGAGGTGGGAGGCGACTGGAGGAAGGACCTTCTCAGTGGTGGCCACTCATTGATGGAGTCCTCTCCCCAGGGAGGCCTGCCAAGCCCCTGCTTTGTAACCTTTGTGGTGCCAAGCAAATACCTCCCCAGAGAGCCAGTGTGGTGTAGTGGTTAAGAGCGGTAAACTCGTAATCTGGTGAACCGGGTTCGCGTCTCCGCTCTTCCACATGCAGCTGCTGGGTGACCTTGGGCTAGTCACACTTATTTGAAGTCTCTCAGCCCCACTCACCTCACAGAGTGTTTGTTGTGGGGGAGGAAGGGAAAGGAGAATGTTAGCTGCTTTGAGACTCCTTCGGGTAGTGATAAAGCGGGATATCAAATCCAAACTCTTCTTCTTCTTCACTCCAGCTTTTAAAAACTTTCAATGGTGATGCTATTGCTGCCAGTTTTATGGTCTGTATTTAAAGATAATAATGATTCAGCAAGCATCAAAGCGGGCACTCTGCCTTTCTCACACATACAGTCCCCTTGTCATAACCAGCCCTGCCCGACTATTTCTCCATCTTGGTTGAAATTCCTTTTTGTCATTGGTTGGACAGAAAGTTGGATGTGGAAATTGCAGAGACTGGGATGAATTTTCTCACTGTGGGATTTGAGAGACTGGTGGGATGGGAGGTGTGACTTATCCCCGAAACTGACAGATGGAAAGGCCGTTGGAACAACCCCAAGACTCTACACATACCTGCCTGGGGGAGACAAATCTCAGAGGAATACAAGAAGAGAGGCCTCCCCCCTGGGTTGACAGATTACCCAGCCTTTCTTGACTTGCTTGCACGACTGCTCTGCACAGGGGCTTTGCTTCCAGAACGTGCCCTGAGCACTATTTATTTTGTGTCTATGTTAGTTGATTGTTAATAAATAAACAGTTGCATTTGTTATCTGGTGGAGATGCCAAGTTCTTGGGAAAGCATAAAATTGGGGAACTACAAAGCATTAGATCTAAGTAACATTAAACACTGGTGCTCTTTTCACAATGGGCATTTGCTGTGGAATAGTCACACTTTGTGTACTCCCTTTTTACAGGGCATCTGCACGACATCATGAACAAAGCATATCCCTCTCACGTTTTTAGCTCTCCCTCCTCACTGACTAGTTATGGCCCACATAGATTGCTCTAGACATTTCTCTCTCTGTGGTCTGTTTCTTCTCTCTAGGAATCAACTCTGTCACTTAACCCCTTCACTTTCTAAACAGCACTGCGTTCATATTCTCTCCTCCTCTCCACCGCCCAATTTCAGGGGACAGGGATTCATGACTGGGAGTACTTAACACCATGGTTGCCGAATGAAAATCAGGGCCCTCCCCCACCCAACATTTGGGGCTGGGGAAATATTGGCTACAAAATGTTATTTGGGTTCCAGAAGTCTGGAAGCAGAGCTGCTATTCCATTTATAGTTCAAAGCAGATTAGCAAGGATTAGGCGCTGCTAAATTGTCAGTGTGTGAAAGGATCCTTTGTAAGTTTCACCTGCTGAGCGTTATGAGTCCCTTATCTCAGGTGTCCTCAGTAAGACAGTACTGGAAGACAGTAGCCAAAGGTAGCAATGCAGAACCCTGTTCATGCCTCTAAACAAAAGAAAAAGAAGAGCTGCAGAACTGAAGGGAAGCACTACATGTCCTCTGCCACTGGTCAGTGGCACAAAGCCCACGCAGAAGGCTGCCTCCCTCACTGCCCAGGAGGAACATTAAGGCAATGATGGGACCAGTATGACCTCATCCACTAGCCAGAGAAGGAGCAGGGAGCAACTGGCCTCCCCTCTCCATGCAATCCCTGCCACAAAGAAGACTTACATCTAACACTCATTTTCCTCTACCTTCCTTGTTCCTTGTACAGTGGTACCTCGGGTTACATACGCTTCAGGTTACATACGCTTCAGGTTACAGACTCCGCTAACCCAGAAATAGTGCTTCAGGTTAAGAACTTTGCTTCAGGATGAGAACGGACCTCTGGAACGAATTAAGTACTTAACCTGAGGTACCACTGTATGATGCTTCTATTACACTGGGAGTCAGTAGCCGAGTCCGGTCTTGGCTTTTAATATCTGTAGAGCTTTGGAAATTTTAGGTGCTTTATAAACGTTAAATACTGCTATCACGGGGCGGGGGGGGGGGCTAGCTGGAAAGCTAAATGGTGTCCTAATTCTGTGTCTCTGATTGTCCTGGGACAAAATCTAAGCAGAGTGGATCCTATGGACGTCTAAACAATAAGTTTTATACAGTCTCATCAGGGTGATGATCCAAGGAATATGGGGACCGAAAAGCAAATCTGCAAGGTTAGATCTTCAGGAAGACATAGACAGAGCTCTGTCTGAGGCTTTATTTATTTTTCATTTATTTTTAACATTCTAGAACCATTAATCCTTCTGAGAAATCCACTGAACCATGCCTTTCTAGGCCTGGTCTTAGCCCTCCCTGCTTGATGCTGGTCAAAGATTTACTTGGGAAAGTTACCAGTCTGCTTAGAACCAGAGTAAACATGAGCTGGAGGACTGGGGGAGGGCAGAATCCGAGCTGGTGTCTCTCCTCTCCTGTGGGCTGCAGAGAACCTCTTTCCCAGTTGCCCTGGTCTTTGTCCAGCTGGTCAAGCTGACAGCCCTGGTGAACCTCATGGCTTCAGTACAGTGATCACTTACCTATCACCAATAAAAACTGGGGTAGGCTTGCCTAAATGAAAATGTTTTTAGCAGGCACTAAAAAGGGGACAGTGAAGGTGCCTGCTTGATATATCAATAGGCAGGGAGTTCCAGAGGGTGAGTGGTGCCACACTAAAAGACCGAGTTCTATAAATAAAAGAGCGGTATTATGTGGCACCTGTGCCATTGACAGTTCTGCCAGTTTAAGAAGCTGAGTGGGCATATGTGGGGGTTAGGCAATCTCACAAATAAACCGACGCCAAGTTGTTAAGGGCTTTATATATACAGATAGTAACACCTTGAACTAGGCCTAGCAGAACTTTAGAGCAGCCCAGCAAGGGGAGTCTGCAAGATGAACTGAGCAAGCTGGGTGAGGAGCAACATGAAAAGTAAGAGGCAACACTATAGAATTTTATAAAATCATGCATGGAGAAAGGGGAGTGCTTTTTTCTAGAAAAAAAAGGTGCCTCTACTCACCATGAAGTTGTTACAGTAAGCGCCACACTTTTAACATATCCTCTGGTGTACCCTGGTCTTTTCTAGATAGCTTCCTGCTTTTTGTATCAACTGCAGAATGATGGCCTTGTAGCAGCCATGGTGCCAAATATTTGGTAGGGTTGGACCGAGTAAGAGGAGGTCCTACCATCCTGATGAACATCAGTGATGAAGTTGTCTGTGTAAACAGAGACGATCTTCATGAAGTTACTGTAAGATTCACCTAAGAGAATCCTTTCACATTCACTTGAAGATATTAAAATTGTGCTTAAAGCATGCTTTAGAGGAAGTAGTTCGTAAGGGACTACCGTAAAATTTCTTGATATTCACGAAAGCCATGAATTGCTTCCCTTTCATCTAAGCGAAACTTTTGTGCTAGTTTTCTGATTTCAGTTTCACCAAAGGTTATTTGCTTTCTAAGCCAATATTTGGAATTGAAAACCTTGGCACATCCAGGCAAATCAGCAGCATCTCCTTCAAGTATTCACTTTCTAAGAGTTTCTTTCAGACTTTCATAGAAAGCAGATGAACTTATTCTATGTCATTTTTGTGGAGCTTAGTCCTTTTGAACTTCTGATATTTCTAGGCACTCAAGATGAGTGATTAATGAGCTTAAAATTCATCTTGCTGTTGTATCTTGTAAACTCACTCAAATCTAGGAAAAGACTTATTGGAGCCGAAATTTTAGGAAGAACTATGCAAACAATAGCAATCAAAGTTGTTCTGTTACCCGCAGCTGTTGATTCATCAATAATTAAGGACATTTTGTTCTTAAGAGTTCACTATGTTGCTTATTAATGTTTTTCTCATTTCATCTGCAATATGGTTTACAATATTGATGCAAGCATTTGTAGAGTGAAGTATACAGCCCATATCTAGGTCATTAAGTTCCTGTAACTTTATTTCATCTTCAAAGTTGTTAAACGCTTGATTTTCTTTGGCAACTTTATAAGCAGTTCAAAACACTTTGGCTGTTAACGTATTTATAACAAAAAAGGGTGTTTAAGATGTGATGTTTTAAACAAAGATCAGAAGTAGATTCAATACTTTGTGCTGCCTCTTCAGCCTTCCTTTTTTTACTAACTGGCATAAAGTAATTACTTATTTTACTCATAATGAGTATATAAGCAGGTAGTAAATGGTCTATAGATGAAAATTAATCATAAGCAACATAAATACCTGTGAAATTTAAGTTTAAGCAGTGCCCCCTAAGAGAAACAGCTTGCTTCCCTACCCAACTGCTGAACCTTCAAGAAAAAGCACTTTCCACTTACAAATTATAGGAGAAACGTAATCCAGAAATTCTGTCGTGATTCCAAATTGCTTACTTGAAAATTAACTCCCTCAAATTAAAAAGACACTTCGGAGGAAATACATTTAGAATAGGGAGCATCCCCCCCTTTCATACAAAAGAGGTAGGACAAGGCTTCCCCACCCAAACCAGTCCTACATATTTATAAGGCATACTGTATTATTTTTTTACCCATGGTGCCACCACTACTGTTTGACAGGGGGAGCTATTTTATTGCTCTCTCCAACTTTCCTGGGGGAATTGAAATAAGGAAACCTACACAATATTCCAGGAAGCTTGGGCTAGTGCAGTGTTCCCCATACTTGAGACTCCAGCAGTTTTCGGACTACAACTCCCATCATCCCTAGCTGGCTAGACCAGTGATCCGGGATGATGGGAATTGTAGTCATAAAAAAAAAACCAACACCAACCCGACAACAGCTGGAGACCCAAGTTTGGGAAACACTGGGCTAGTGGCAACTGAGGAAAGGCCACGTGGCTGCGGCAAAAGAGCATCTTCTTTCTTTGCCTAACCCATAGGGATCCTTTTAATGCGCCCCCTTCAGAAGGGCCCATTTCATAAACCTGATTCTTCCTTCCACGCTGCACCCCTTATTCTACACCCGCAAGCAAGAGGCAGCCTTCGTGTGACACCCCATTCCCTCACGTCACAGCCCTGCTTTTTAGGGGGGGGCGCAGAACCGACGCAATTAGTTAAGTATTTTTATTTCCTTATTTGATTTTGGGGGGGGGCACAGCTTGCCCCCCCGCTATGCCTGGCTTCCTCCTCAGCCCTCCTCTCCAAATCAAGTGAGGAAATAAAAATACTGTACTTAACTGACCAATTGCGTCGTTTCTGCGCCCCCCCCCAAAAAAAACCTATAAAGCCTTCCCCTCCCTAAAATAAATATCCTGGCTATGCCTACAGCCAAGAGGTGACCGGAGGCGACTGACAGAAACTCACTCCCCGCAAGCGATGAATGAATCAATTCATTGCAGTCACAGATCAGAGATGCGGATTGTGATAGAGATGGCTGAGGCTTCTGTTTCCCGCGCTTTTTTTTTAAGGGACAACTTCCTGTTTTCGGTCCATTTTCCTTCCCATGGCAAAATTTGACAGAAATGCCGCCAGGGGAAATAAAAAAGGTGATAAGAGAAAAGCTTTCCCCCCCTCTCTCGGAGCCCTAGAATTTGAGGACATCCAATGGCGCTGAATGTTGGAAGGTTCAGGGCAGAGCAAAGAAAGGCCTTCTCCACGCAGCGTATAGTGAAACTATGTTGTACCTCTGCTTTGAGGGAGCAGCACACCACTATAAAGAAAAACCCTACATCACTCACTAATTTTTACATCCTTTATGGGTGTTAATACATACAGTATAGCGTGGGAAGTGTTCCCGGAAGTTGCCTATCCACAAAGCTGTGCGGGTTACTCTGATCAGCTTCCCTTGTATAGAGATACAGGGGACTTATTTCGCGCTTGCGCATCTCCACAACGGGGACTTATATCACGCCTCGCTGGGGGTTGTGTGTTTTCCTTTCTTCCCCCTTCCGCGTCTTATCCCCGCCCCGAGCGCGACGTCACCCACCCCCCGCTGCTGCTCGGCGAGCCAATGAGACGAGCGCAGGAGGGCGGCGGGGCCAATGAGCGCGCCGGGCCGCCAGCGGGGCCGGGCCTAGGGGGCCAAAGAAGCCGGGCGCGGAGCCGGGGCGTCAAGTGATCGTGGCGGCCGGGCGAGAGGCCGCCGGGGCCGGCCATGTCGCGGTGGTTCTTCCCGTGGTCGAGCTCGATCAAGAAGCGCGCCTGCCGGTACCTGCTGCAGCACTACCTGGGACATTTCCTGGAGGAGCGGCTCGGGCTGGAGCAGCTCAGCCTCGACCTCTACGCTGGCGCTGGGAAGCTCAGCCGCATCCACCTCGACGTCTGGGTGAGGCTCACGAAGCCCCAGGGAGGGTGCCCCGTCCGCCTCTGCCTCGAGCCCGGCCTTCTTGGGCCTCCCCACCCCCGGGAGTGGGAGGAAGGGCAGGCCAGGAAGGGTACCCCAGGCAGGCAGGCAGGCAGGCAGTCCCACCGGTAAAGCACTCCATCCCCTCACTCTTCGCAGGTGGCTGTGGCTGAGCGGAGGGGCTGCCTCTTGCTCTCCAGTCGCAGCCTCCCCGCTTGTCACGGCCTACCTGGCTGTCCTTCCTCGGTCAAGCGCCCTCCTGTTATGAGTTATAAATATCTGCCCCATAATATGTCGTGCCAGCTGGGCTTCCCAAGGAGAATAAGGTGGCATCGCTGGGGCACTTCCTCCTGCCCGCAGCAAACCTCAGGTGGGGTGGCTGGCCCAGGAGTTCACATGTCTCTCCAACCTCCCATGTTATCCTCACAACAGCCCTGTAAGGCAGGGTTAGGCTTAGAGAAAGGGAGTGTGAGTGCCGGTGAGATCGGGTGACTGACCCAAAAGCTTCCCCCCACAAAAGCTTCCCCCCCCCAACAGCCCTGTGAGGCAGGTTAGGTGGAAGGTGTGTGCACTGGAGTAAGGCCACCTAGTGAGCTTTGTGCCTGATTTGGGATTTGAACCTGGGTCTTCCCAGCCCTAGCTAGACATTAAACATTACATTTTTAATGCTGACACCTGCCTTGGGATCTTAGGGTGAAGGGCAGGTGATTAATAAGAATACAACACCACCACACTGGCTTTCCGTAGAACAAACTGAGCCTCTTCTTCAGTGGGCTCCAGGAAGCACCCCCGCTAAAAGTGGGGGCTTTCCCTCCAGAGTTATGTTTCTTGCTCTAGCTGGGGTTGGGGTAGGTGTGGGGTGAGTCTCCCCACTCCCCATTGTGGAATGATGTTGGGAGCCAGCAGGGTTTTCTCTTTATTTTACTTGGGCCTAGTTTTGTTTTGCTATGTTGGTGGGAAAAAAATACTTTCTATTGAACCTTACTATAGTATGACAAGCTTCATACTTTTCAGTTCCTTGGGTCTGGAATTCTGTGCAAAATGGAAATTGTTATGAGTATTAATAATGCATTTGTATGCCAAAAGCTTCTATCATAATACAATTGATTAGAGTTAGACTATTAAGGTGCCACCAGCCATTGTTGCTGTTGTTGAGAGAGGGAGGGAGGGACTTCCTCTTAGAAGCACATGAGTTCTCGATAAGGTAACTAACAGGTAGATCAACAACCACTTTGAGCATTTCAACATGTAACCATTGTCTTGACGATGCCAGATTATCCTCTGAGCAGGAAGAGGGACAGCCTGCCTTACTGCACGGGGATTGATGTTGTCATTATTACGTATTATTACAATTACATAAGACAGTTAAAAACAACAAATACATTTAAAGCTAGACTAAAAGTTTAACAAAGTGATAATTACCCATTTATCCAGCTGGGAATGCTTGTTGAATGAAAATGTCTTCAACTCTTTCCAGAAATTGCAGATATAGTGGGTGCCTGTTGTATTTGGACAGGAATGGGATTTGTGGCTAGGGCAGTGGGGCATCTCTGGGCCCTCCCAGTAGCCTTGGACTCCTGACTCCCATCGCCAAAGCCAATGTCCAGGAATGATGTTGCAATCCAGACACATCTGGAAAGCCACATGCCGTGTCTCCTGTTCGGAGGTGCAGTGCTGGGGGGAGCGAATGCAAGCTGATGTCTATTGCTGACCCTGGGCCCAGTGTCAGAGCTGGCCTTGCCCCACCACCCTTGCAGTGGGGCACTCTCCTGGAGGAATGTGCTCTGGGTTTCCTTTACAGGTTGTTGTTGGGCTGAGCTTTTGCCAGGCATTTCCTGCTGGTGGCTGAGCACAGCTAGCCTTGCCCTGCTTAGTGGCAGTGGAGCAGACTTCTGGCCTCTTTTCAGTGATGTCTGCCCTTTGATAACTGGGGATGGGGCTTAGGCAGATTGATGGCAGCTTGGTGGCCAGCTCCTCCTTAGCATGCCGAATCTCCCAGGTTCAATCCCTGGCATTTCCAGGTAGCACCAGAAAAGACTCTTGTCCGATAGCCACTGCTTGTCCAGGCTGACAATGCTGTACTGTGCTTGGCATGAGGCAGCACCCTAATTGCCCCTCCCCACCTCCACTTCATCTTGCCTTGTTGTAACCAGGTGTCTTGGCCTGTAATGCAGCCCACTTCGCTCCAGCCTTTGAAGAGGCATTTGGGGCTGTGGGCTGTGATGGAGGGCTTGGGATGAACAGTGGGTGTGCTAGTGCAGATGACCCAGCTTCTCAAGTGCTAAACGGGGGAAAGCTTGCACTACAATAGGAAGCCCAGGTAAGGCAGCCACTAAAGGCAGGAATCCTAGAACGGTGATGTTGGAAGGGACCCCGAGGCTCATGTAGGTTGGCTTTTGACCAGCCTTCAGCCATTGTTTGCTCCCATCTCAGGCAATTGGGCATCTTGTTGGAAGCACATTGTGAGAACCGTCTCATTCTTTTTCAAATGAAAGGGACATGTAAACAAGGAAGTTAGTGTTTGGGATCTGCCTAAAAGAAAGCTCTGCATGCAGGCATTCCCTGGGAATTCTCTGCCAGTCTATGGAGCAGGCAAGGTGTGATCACTCCCCTTGAGACCCTTTGGCCACCCGGCCGTAGTTGCAGTCCTGGTGGCAAATCAGTGGGTTCCCCCCCCCCCACATCTCCAAATGGGGAGGATGGTTGTTACTCCAGAACAAACAAGCCTCTGAAGTAGGCGGCTGTGGCTTGTCGTCGGCCTGTCTTGTGATGGAGTGGGGAGGTGGTGCTGTTCCCCAGGCTGTTGGTGCTGTGATCCACTATCCTGCTCTGGAGAAAGGCCAGCTGTCTATAATTATCCTCGCAAGTCACTGCCTCCTGCTCCCCTGCTGTCCTTTCACATCTTTCCCCCAGTTTCTCCCCACACCTCCTCCTCCCTGTTCTTAGCTTTTCTGCAAGAAGTCGCAAGATTGTGCTGAAGGGAGCTTGCCTGCCTCTTTTAGCCCAAGCAGAATTTGGGTGGCTTAGGGAGGCCTAGGTCCTTTGGGGCCCTATTCCCACTTGCTTCACAGCCCTCCCTGCCCTATCCTCCTGCTAGGGTGCAATCTAGAATGAAGCCCCCTCCGCCTTCGCTTCAGTACAGGACACAGGGTTAGGGTGATGTGGATGCTCCCTGCTGGGGCAGTTTCCTCTGGCTCAGAGGCAATCCTGCAACTCTCAAATTCCTCTTCTTGTATATATCCTGCCCTTCCTCCCAAAGGAACCTTAGACAGGGGAGTGCCCCCAAAGGTGTGTGATAGAGAGATTAGGGGGGTTCTTGCCCAATGGATCTCAGCAGCTTCCTGGAGCAGCAAGACAGGATGGGAGGTATCAAGTAGCCTGAGGAATTCTGGCTTGTTTGTCTCCTGGACTCACATGCTTCCTCACCACGTCATTGCTGTTGCCTCACTGGCATGGCTGATGCTAGACTCACAGCTGCAGAAGTCCCGGCCTGTTTTCTCTCAAGGAAAGCCTGCTTGGCGGGGGGGCAGGGGAATTATCCAGGGCATCTCTGCTGTCAGGAGAATAAGAACATAGGAACATGAAGAGAGCCTTCCTGCTGGATCAGGCATTTGTTCTCACAGTAGCCACACAGATTTTTCTGCAAAGCTTGCAAAGCTGGGTGCAACAGCAACACTCTTTGCTCACGTGTGACTTTCATTCGGAGATAGGCTGCCCCTGGCATTGGAGACAGAGCGTTGGCCCTCATGCCTGGTAGCCACAGGTAGCCGCCTTGTCCTCCATGAATTTGTCAGATCGTGTTTTAAAGCCATAGAGGTTGGTGGCCTCACTGCCTGCTGCAGGAGGGGGCTGTGTGAAGGACTTTCTTTTTTATCTGTCCTGAATCTCAGGGACATTCAGCTTCACTGGATGCCCCTGAGTTCTGCTGCTATGGTGAGAAACGGAGAGAGAAAGAAAATCTCTATCCGCTTTCTTCACCCTGCACTTAATCTTATGCACATTTATCATGTCCTCCTCACTTACTTTCATTTTTTTCTACACTGGAAAGCCCAACTTTTGCAATGTTTTCCTCCCAGGGGAGGTTGCTCCATCCCCTTCAACTTTTCTTAACCTTTTCCAGCTCTACAATATCTTTGTTTTTTAGGTGACGCAATCTGAACTGTGAACAATATTCTTATGTGTGGTTGCAAAGTGTTCTGCCCTGTCCCTGTATTTTTGGGTCAGCCTCCCACACCACCTGTGTGATCGAATCTCTCTTCAGAACCAAGGCTATCCATTAACCCTTTTCTACAGCCCTTATGCAGCAACTGAAATAACCACACATGCATCCTGATTATTATTATTATTATTATTAATTACTTGGTCTTTACCTTCAGGTCTCAGGTCAAGTTACACCATTAAAACACAGTATTTA